TATCAAGTTGGCTGAGACCCACACAAGTCTGTGAGATGACATGCTCTTCAAGAGCCACCAAGACATTCTCTAGTAACCAGGAATGCACCCCCTCTCCAGTCTGCTTCAGAGCCAGCATGATCAGTTGTTTTTCTCAATGTGACCCTCTTTAGCATGGCACACATTCCTTTGGAAGCTCCTATGCAGAAACTGACATTCTCTGGCCTTTGAACCATTCCCCATTGCCTCCCAACCCCATGACCTCCCAGGAAGCCAATGGCAGAACAATGCCTAAAGAATACACAAAAGTGAGCCGAAGGTGTTATTAGGGTCTTCAAATACGGTCAGTGGTTGTAATCTCTTCCCCCTCTAAAACAAGAATAAGCCCTGTAGAAAAAGTGTAAATACTAAAATTACCATATATTAAACTAAAAATAAATCAGAGGATTTAGATTTAGTTATGTGACAGCTGGCTATCTCCATGTAGGTCTTCACCTGTGCAGCTCTTTGAAAAGATAACTTCTTTCACTCTGAAAAAATTCTAAATTTTTATCCTTTCACTATAGACCTTTCCAACACAAAAAGTAGTAACTAAATTATCATGGCAAACATTCTCCTTTTGTCTTCAAAAGAAATAATGTAGCTACTTTTTAAATCACACATCTACTGGAGGACTAGTCCTGGACCTGTTCGTAGCACATTAAAGGAAAATATTACATACTGGATGGCGGTAGCAGGTTAGCTATGCCACAAGTCAATGTCTTAAGTCACTATTCATTTAGCTTTAAAACAAGCTATTACCTTGTATTTAGTTTGTTCAACAAGCACTTTAAAAACAACTTTACAAAGTGGAAGAGGAAGTAAGAAATCTAGAATCTTACAGTCCATATGAAGCCAGGAAACAAGAGGAACCTGACCAAACTTGATCTCCTTCAGAAGACTGATATATTGACTTTAAAGTGCTAATAATAGAAGCATGGCCATTCTGGTCTGATTATAAAAAACCCTACACTAAGGACAGGAAACCCAAGATTTGTTTCTCTGCACTGCAACTAAGCTTGTGCAATGGACAAATCAAGATTACCATCCCTATTTTAAGACTGGGAAAATAGTCATAGTCTACCTTCTTGACAAGAAGGCTGATGGAAAAAATGCGATCACTTGTTTAGAATTTTTAATTTCCTGGGGGGCAGGGGACTCTAAATAAATTTAGTTTACCACAATTATAAGCCTTCCACACCAAGAGAACTTCAGACTTCTGCTTCTCTTAGCCTCAGCTACATTTATGTTTACACTGAGTTATTACTAACAATAAACAAAAATTAAGCCATTTTCAGACACACTGGTACAATTTCCTAAACATGTCCAATGAAAGAGTTACCTGGGAGTGATTGTTAAAAAGATTCCCAGACACCATTTCAGATATACTTATAAAACCCTTCAAGTCTGAACTTTTGTAAGCATCCCAGGTAATTTCTTTTTTTTTTTTTTAATTACTTGGCATTCAACTGTCTTTACGATTTTTTTAAAAAGATTTCATTTATTTATTTTTAGAGAGGGAAGGGAGGGAGAAAGAGAGAGAGAAACATCAATGTGTGGTTGCTGGGGGCCATGGCCTGCAACCCAGGCATGTGCCCTGACTGGGAATCGAACCTGCGATGCTTTGGTTCGCAGCCCGCACTCAATCCACTGAGCTATGCCAGCCAGGGCACATCCCAGGTAATTTCTATGCTCAGACAAAGTTGAGGAAATACTGTAGCAAGACAACCCATTACAGGGCAAGACGATAAATTAGAAATCCATTGAATGGGTCCATTAATCATTCATTATTTGGTCTATTTCATCATAAATGTATTAACATAATGCTGGTTAGCGTTCCTGAGGGCCTACAATGTGCTGTATCCTGTACTAAGCACATTATATACGTTATTCACTTAATGGTAACTAACGTTTTAGAGTGGATACTAGTTTTATTCCAGTTTTATAAACAGGGAACACTGAAGCTTTACGTAATTTACCTGAGGTCACACAGTTTGTCAGTGGCTGCTGGTTCAAAACCAGGATGTTTGTTGCCACCTACTACACTGTACAATTCTAACCTCAAGGAAGAAAAGCAAACACATGACAACAGCTGAAATGGAAAGTTAAGGTCTTTCACTGACCAGGGGCTTTGCTAATTTCAACTCTCTTGCCTTGGTTAAAGTGAAAACAAAACAATACAAAATATTTTGCATACAAGAACATGGTCTAACTGCTTGGAAAAAGAGGGAAACTATTCTCTCTCCAATGATCACTTAAGTGATGATCCTAAATGGAGCAGGGCTGCTGACCAGGTCTGAGATGCTGCTATTAACACCTGAATAGTCTGTTCAGTGACTGGGTTTTCGTTTTGTTGGGAGGGGGAGATTAACCTTTAGAACTCAAACCACAAGAATGACCATCCAGTTGATATTATTAGTTCCGGTCTCAAAACTATAAACTGGCCATCGAGGCTAAATTCTTTTAACATTTTTATGTAACACTCTTTAAGTATACCCAAAAATCACAAAATGAGTTTCTACAATAACAATTACATTAAAACTTGAGTGTATTATGTTTTATTTTTTTACTCATATACCTACACTGTCATATTCAGAGGAAAAGACTTTGAGCCATAAAAGCCTTGAAAAAGACTTATGAAAATGGTTTCATAAGAAAATGTTACAGAGATCTGTTGAACAGTGATGAACATGTGCTATGATACACAAAAATCTACACATAACTTATGGCCTGATACAAACGTATGTTCTCTCTATATATTATACCCTAGAGAAATTATCACACACATGTACTAAGAGACACATACAAGAAATGTTCATGGCAGTATCATTTGGAATAGCACCTTAAATGTCTAGTAAGAGAATGGATAAGTCAGTTGTGATATAATCATACAGCAGAATACTAAATAGCAGTAAAAAAAAAAAAGAATGAATTAGAGCCACAATTATTAAGACAAACAAAACTCACAAAATACTGAACTGAAAAACCAAGTTGCAAGTGATTACCTTCAGTGTGATACCAATTAGTATTAAAGCATGTTTGTATCAAATGCAATAAAAATATAAAGAAATACAGAGTAATACCCAACATCAAAACCAAATTCAGGACAGCTTTGGAGTGGAAAGGGAAAAAGGAAGGTGAACAAAGTTAAAGCTATAGGTGTTTTCCTTCTCACATATTTTTGCCATGTTTTATGTCTTAAGAATGGTGGTAGGTACCTGAGCAATACATTCTATATTTGTAACTGTGTAACTGAAATTCAAAAAGACAATCAAATATAGAATTAAGCACACAAAGCCTAGTGATGCTTTGAATACTCAAGCTAACGATCATTTGAATCTGAAAATGTGATGCCTTCCCCAAGGCTGTTAACTTGAACGATACAAGATCCCAAACCCTGTACCATTAGGCTGAATCATATGAAATTGCTGGGTTTGTTGTGGGTCAAAAGTCAGTATTAAGAACTCCAACTACTGGTAATATTAAAATTCTCTATATGAAAAGCAAAAAAAAAGGTAATTATCCATGTTTTTCTCAAGATTTTACAATAGTCTACTTAATGGCAAGACTAAGAAAACAGGGAAATAAAACTAAAGTAGAATGGACTGGACCACTTAATTGTCAATGGACAAAAATCAAAAATAAACTACCCAGTATATGGAACAAATTATAAAACTCAGAAACACATATTGCACAAAATGTGGTCAAACTACTGTCCTTTGAAATAAAGTGTTAATTCTTTTTAAAGTATTTATACATGTTAAATCCTTAAAAGACCCTTGTTGGGCAAAGCAAATATTTATACATATACCCATTACAATGAAGAGGAGAAATAGCTTGTCTAAGGACAAATAAGCAGTTAGCAGTCAAAACATAATTAAAATTAAATCCAGGTCCTGCTCCAAAATTAGTCAAAATAAATTAGAAGCTTAACAATAAGAGATTTTTATATACTTCCATCAAAAAGTATGAAAGGACAAATTGACAATGATCTGTGGAGTTCTGTTTTGTTTTTTATTTCCTAACAATTTCAATACAAAAAGTTTTAAAGTAAAATCCATTGTTATTTGTGCAATACAAAACTCATTTCCCATAAACATTTTACATAGTGATTAAGTTACTAGATCCACTTGGAAAAGCCAAATCAATTTATAATTTAACTAGCAAACCATAATCTTATCATAACACAAAAGGAAATACGTACTACATAAAGTCTGTCAACAGCCTCCCCTCTTTTCTTAAACTCAAGTACTAGTACTTCTAGAAATAGGCTTTGATGAGAATGTTGAGTTTTGAGAAACATATTGAAGGAAACTTGGAGGCACCTTTGCAAGGTTTCAAAGGTAAGAGCAACAGGGTTTTTAGTGAATAAATAATACCACTTTTAGGTATCATCACAGAACCAAAATGGGTAATGCAAAACAGGGACAGAGATTTTCATGAGCTAACAGAAGCAGAAACTGAAAGAAAATGGTTAGAAAAGACAAAAATGAGAACTACAGCAGAGGAAGGAACAGGGACACTTCACACCGAGAGGTGGAAGAAACAGCGCAGCACTGTATAGGAACAGCCCCCTCCCCAAGCTGCAAGGTTGCCGTGTAGCTTGAGTGAGGGAAACCATGAGAAATGGGGGTGGGATGAAGGAAGGGGGGTTGAGGGGGAATAGTGGGACATCTGGATGGTTTTTACATGTCAGGCATTTTTAACCCAAGAAATGTGCATACTAAAATCTACCTATGCTTACAATTCATGTCTTACATATTGTTGTTTTTGCCTCCTCCCGATTAGGAAAAATAAATGACATGTTACCCAAATCTCCTTTTCAGTTAATTATTTATAAACAGCACCCTGGATGGTCACAATCATCTATTGTCAGATGCCTCTGGTTAGCCTGCTCACCTCAGCAGGGCCCACTATAAGGAACACAGCTGCCAGGACACATGCACATTACATTAGAGAAGGGGAAGGGGAGGGAGACCAACCTGCCTCCGCATTCAGCTCCTCTAGAAGCCCGCTGGTCCTCCAGGTAGCTCCTGTGTCCTGGCCTCCTACAGAATTACTGTGCTCTTGAACTACTGCAGCCGCCAATAAAGTGTCCACATTTACCACTTCTGGGTCAGAGCTGGTGTCAGACATATCATAATGAGCTACAACTGGAGGTCCATCTAGGGAGGAAAGAAAATGTATACTTGTATCTAACTTGTGGGGAGAAAAATACTTCTAAAACTAAGAGCCCTCTAAATGTCGTTTGTCTTCATTTTATTACTCTAGCTACAGGAAAGCTGCACTTTATACATCTATTATTTTGTACATGATGTGAAAGTAGAAAAGATAACCCGAGCTTACAAAGATGAGGGACACATTTGGGAAAGAGGGAAAGGAGTGTTATGAAGAACAGAAGACAAGACTATGCTGAACAATGTTACACTGAATCGACATCATACTCTTAAAGAGCAAAAGATTAAGAAAAAAGGGAAGACTCCACAGAGAAAGTGAAACTGATTTTTAAAGAAAAAAAGAAACAATGCTAACTATTAAACTTCAATTTATATTTTTAAGAGAATGAATGTAGTTCTTCCTTTTACTAGCTAATATTAAAACTCCCCAGTAGATGCAAAGAAGAAAATCAAATACATAGTTTCCTACTTTTAAAGAAATAAGGTTAACTAACACTAAGAGCTCTATTTGACTGACTTATCTATTTCCAGGGAAGCCTTTTTATAATATCAGAGATGTTGTGCATTTTACAACATTCTACAAAAAGACAATACAATATCCATCTTCAGGATTTTGCTTTGGACATCCTGTACGGGATATTTTCTTTTTCCTGAGAAACACAACCAGCTCACACCCCAAGGAAACAATATGCAATCTTATGGGTTATTTTAGAGGAATATATTAAAGTTCTTGCTGGAAATATAAGAGATCTCTTCTATCTCCAAATCACCCTAACTAAAAAAAGGCAGCTGAGTTCCAAAGTAATTACACTACAGAGATTCATGCTAAAATAACTCAATATGCATGCTTGTAGAATAGATACATGCTTTAAAATGCTAAGGTTACCCCTTTTCTAATATAACAGTGAAAAGCAAGTTTTCATTCAAGTATGAAACACATTCCTCACTACCTCCAATTTCTAAGAAAGAAATAACAGAATGCTGTTTCTCCCCCTAATTTATGAAGTGCAGGCAAATTATTTACTTCCATAAATATTGTTTAATATCATCCAACAAATTAACATTAAACACACCTATTTTATGAGACTTTGACTATAAAGGAATACATATGCCAATCAATCATTATCTAAAACACAATGAAAGATTACTGTTTTAATATAAACATCCATTGTGTAAATTGTCACTGAACAAAACATGGAACACACTTGGGGTATTTATCCCTTAAAACTAAGTTCCCAAACCACAGGTTTATGTAGCAACATTTTTAAAACAAACAAAACAAAAGACCAAACATAAAGGCAAATGAGTTATTAAGTGCCACTGTATAAAGAACAGACATGTCACAATATGAAATTCTGACGATCATAAAATTTGCTAACTACTTAATTTCTAATTCTCCCAAAAGGGTAAATCAAGTTCAAAAAATTCAACAGTGTGACCTCAGAATCAGTTGGCAAAGGATTTTCTATTAGCAAAAAAAACTGGCTCATGTTGAGGTTTTTCTTTTCTAAAAAAAGACAGCTGTATCATTTATGGAGTTCTCGTCAGAGTTCAAAATGATTATTATGGAATAAAGATACTACTATGTGATGTCCAAATTTGAGTGCAGAAGGTATGAAGGTCAAGTACAATATTGACTATTTGACCAAATGTTCTATTTTTAAAAGGGCTTTATTTTTTAAGTGTTTTGTGCTTACAAAAATTTAGTGATTTTAAAATTTGTATCACTAATACCATTTATAACCACTTGTCCCACATTCCCTACCGCAATCACCAAATTGAAGCAACAGGTCAAGAGTCAAGTCAAAATTGTACCACTCCTACATGTATAATCATGCAAAAAAGTATTAAGTGTATATGTACATGCAGAGCGATATCACCTACCCATGGAAAAAACTTGTCTGAAAGTCTTCATCAGTAGGAAATACAAGCATAAACTTGTTATCTGGCTTCAATCTTGCATCTTCCATATTTCCAAACAGCACACCTTATAGCTTAGCTTAAATTTAGTATTCATCATAAACAAAGACAGCAATATTTTCATATTTGAATTACACTTAGCAGTTAAACAAATGATTATCACTGTCATTTTTCCATTTCTAGGATAGTCAAATGATGACAAGTCAATACTATACACACTTTAATCAAGTAAAGGATTAGTTGCCTTTCCAACTATGTCTTTCAATAAAAAAACAAAATTAAGGATCTTGTGTTCCAAGGACAACTTACATTGACCATCAGCAAACCAAGATTAACTAAGATATGTTTAATGCACTTAGCATCAGAGTTTTGGGCCTTTACCAGTAAATAAGTATTAGCTTACCAATGATGATAATTTATAATATTCTTAAAATGTGACTTACTGCATGCCAAAATTAAGATTCTATAGTGGTATTATCTGCCTTTTAAAAGGAGTATCTCTGGAAGGTGTGACTCAGTTTTGGTTTGCCAGTCTGCAAACCAAAAGGGTCACCAGTTCGATTCCCAGTCAGGGCACATGCCTGGGTTGTGGGCTGGGTTCCCAGCTGGGGGCGCATGAGAAGCAACCACACATTGATGTTTCTCTCCCTCTCTTTCTCCCCGCTCCCCCCTCTCCAAAAAAATAAAATATGTACAAGAAAAAAAAGAAGTACCTCTTGAAGAAGAAAAAAATCAAACCAGGGAGGAGGAGCTAGGAAAACTCACCCATTAATATCAGAAGCAGCAATCTCTGCTTCCAATGATTCATCAATCTATTACAGGAGGGAATAAGCAAAGAGATACTGTCCTTCCTCTCCCTTGATTATGCCACTATGTTGTTAAAACAGTAGCGCTGATACCAAGATTTTGACTTTCAGAACATCCAACTAGCCACTTCAAGTATTTACAATTTAAAACTGTCATTAATGTAAGCACATTCCATGTTATTCAAACTAGACATTCTCCTATCTGCTCTCATCTCTGTCACAATCTTAAAACAAATTTATAACAAAGAACTCACTAATTTTTCTACAATAATTAAAACCATCTCTCTTTAAAGGTAAATTTAACACTATTAGTTAAGAACTCTTTGGTCTGTGGTTAATCCAAGTCCTATTGTTCCTCCTGATTGGAATATTTTGAGATTTTGCTGCTTGTTACAATTACAAGGCAAGAAAAATTAAAAGTTGAGCAATCCACTGGCTACTTTTTTACGAACATTAATTCATCCATTTTATGTTCGAAATAGGTTTGTGCCCTCTCACTGACCTACTAGCCTATAAATAGGTTCTAACTTTTCAAATACCAAAATGCATTCCTGACACAGTGAAGTTTCCTCTTTTATCACCTTAAACCTTCTGCATTATTGTCCTCCAACATTTCTTTTTATGAATTCATTTTCTTTCAAATATATTCTCTTCTTAATCTCATGGAAACAATTTGAATCACAAAATACAAAGCAAAACAAAACCTAAAATCCTTTATTTACATTTATTCCTGATAAATCCCTCTTTTCAAATCTGACCATCAAAACCACAGAATTTTGAAACTATACAAGGTAATTACAAAATTTACCAGTCTTGTTTTACAGATAAGAAATTTACACCCCAGTTAGCTGGAACCAGAATAGATTGTAATTGTTCTCCCTGTTGAGGGAACGAGGAATATACAAAATTAGACTGGGAGCAGCATAGGAAGTACATAGATTTTTGGCAACAAACACATAGGTTAAAGCCCTGCCTACTACTTCCTAGTTGTATGACTTATTGTCTTAACGGGGTTAGGGTGAGGGTTAAAGAAGATACAACATAGAACACAACAGGAATTCAAATACTGGTCTATTGTCCCACCTTTCCATTACAATTAGCACCTGCCCTACTTCATGATTTGTTTGCTAATCTTTGCAATGTAAACTCTGCTATATGTGGCATTCATTCATGCAAGAAAGCTTTGAGAAAACTTCACTGCCTGTGCTGTTACCTTATATTGGTCACAGATGAACTCAACTTGTTAAGTAAATGCTTTGCTGGAATTAATGAGATCATCACAAATGTGGCTTTCCTATTTTTATTTTTGTTTCAAGTGAAATGTCAGCTTGGATGTATTCATATAAAAGTGTTTCAAAGCCAAAGAGAGATTATTTTGAATTATTTCATATTTAACATCATCCTTGCCTATAGAGCCCTTCCACTAGCACAAATGTTATCAATCTCCCAGTATGAAGTCTGATTAGACCTAGGAAACAGGAATTCCTCTAGTATCCCCCAGGTACCTGGAAACATCACTCTTCCTCCTTTCTCTACTGCTAAATCTTGGGCCCAAAGAAAGGTGGGGTAATGAACCAATACATGGTTTTCCCTTTTGCCTCCCATTTCTATTGTTACAGTAACATACAATAAAACCCAGAGAAAATTCCTTTTCTTCACCCTACTACAGCCAAACTCTCAAAACCTCTCACTAGGACAGGAAAAATCTACCTCGATGATGCCAAAGATGCCATATGGGCTTTGTCACCCTAGTCATTAAAAGGACCTAGGCCCAGTGCCATTATCTACCACATCAAGAGCAGGGAGAGGGATGGAAATCACACTCAGCCTCAATCCAGATACTAGTGAGAGTTAAAAAAAAGTTATACCTGAAAAGAAAAGTTCTTAGCACTTAACCTAGCCAAGCATCTATGGAGGAGGGCTGTGTGTGTGGCCAAGTAAGGGAAAGAATAGCAACTGAATAAGGTGTGGGTGGGAGGAATTGAGGAAAAAAGGGCAACCTTAAGAGTTGCAGAGAGGAATGTGCATTTTTGGAGAACTTACCCAAGAAAAAAACAGCTTTTTCATTACACACCAAAATATTCACCAAGATGAAAATTTGTATCTGCAAATAAGACTGCTTACAAGAATACTTATGCTGTATTTTTACTACTATCAAAAAATAAAAAATATATACATAGAACAATTTGAAAAAATAAAAAGCTGTCATTTTCAAAGTATCTCTTAGAAAAGATGAACCAACCAAAAAAGACAAAAATCTAT